ACAAAACCAAGCAAGCATGCCCACTGAGTATGATTTCAGGTAGATTTTGGAGGAGGATTCAAATTTCAAAATCAAAGTGAAGAGCATTCTGGGCACAGAAGCCACACGAGATGTCTTGTGCTCTAAGCATGGTCATGAAATGAGACTTACAGCTTGTCACACTAAGTGGCTATGCAGTGGTGCACACCTGTAATACCAGCACACTCAGCTAAACTGCCAAATTTGAAGCTAGCCTGATCCAAATGGCAATAGGCTGGCTAAAGGAGAGTCTGCCTCAATGTTTTTTAAAAAGTCGAACTCTGGCTGTATGTAGTGGCACAAGCAAAATCCTACCACTTGGGAAAGAGGTATAGCAATCTCCGATTTCTAGGCCACTCAGGACTATAGTGAGAACCTGTCTCAAAAATAAAGATTGCTTGGGTACCAGCTTTATAAAAACATTGTAATCCAAGCCATTTAAGACACAACCTTATACCTTATTGTTCAAGTGGTGTGGGTGACAAGGCACACCACAGTATCCTAAAACTATTTCAAGGCTTCCAAAGAGATAAAGGGTAAGTGTAGCCCAGTGCCCAATACACTGAGTAGCTATTGCTGTCCCCAATAAGGGCTTAAGGTAATCATTTTGTAACATGGAACCATAGTAGTAGTGAACAGATCCATAATTAATACAGGGAACCAAAGAAAACATTCATATTGTCAAAGTGGCAATAGACCACAATCTTCGCAGGCTTAAGACCAGCCTGAGTAACACAGTAGTTGTCTAAAGCCAACACGCAGACGTCCCCCCCCTCAAACATTAGGTCAGCACCTGCTACACATGCCAACTGCCACCAGAACCAAAGTAAAAAAGAAGCATAAGCATCCACTGTTTAAGGAATTTTTATTAAAGCAAGAATTTTATAATCCAAATTACGTTTCCTTGCTCAGTCCATCAGTTCTGCTAGTTGAAACAGAACTGACATCCCAAGCTATTCCACAGTAAAGAATTACAAAATTAAAGAAAGGAATGCTTTAAATTTTTGTACTTTGCTGAAAATTCTTTTCCCAGGGTCTATAAAACATTAATTTGTTTTTATATTTTACTATTTTTTTTGTATTTTTTTGTTGTTTTAAATCAAGTAATCTAGGACTAGCATTGTTTGCTAGACCTGGCATTTGCTCGGTACATAAGGTTCAAAGTTTCCTTTCCTTTTTTTATTTATTTTATATTTTGCAATGTTTTTTCATAATATTTAAATTTTTCGATGTTTAGATATTTTTTTCTTCGGTGAAGCACGAGTTTCTTTTCGTGGTCCCTGATAAATCTGTAATGTTAAAAAAAAACAATAACTATATAATTAAAGCCTTTGACTGAATCTGCCTGTTTCTGTCATTATTGGCACAGAGTCGAACCCATTCCTTTTAACATCAGATAAAAGGTGGCCCACAAACCCGGGCTCCAGTCATTTTTACAAAAAGGGTCTGCCAAACCCCACCTGACTCCCCAAGCTACCATCCAATAAAAAAGAATCAATCATGAAAGCCAACTTTTGTTATAGTCATTTCATACAAATTACTGTGCAAAACAAGTGCTGACAAAATATTGGTCAGCATCAGACAGCCCTTTAAGTGTTACCCATCTTCCCCTCTGGGAAATATTTATGTGTGGAGTGATCTTTGTTATGGAAGGAAGGGGCACAGACAAGTAGACAGGAGAACTCACTTAAACAGATGGAACTCCAGCGGCACTGTTCACTGCCTTCTGGGCAGCCTCTTTTGCTTGGTGGGCTTGTAGTACAGCTACAGCTTCATCAACCTAGAAAAAGGACAAATGTAACTGGCTCAGGAAAAAGTGACAAAGAAAAACAGTAACTGATAAATCCCCACCAAAACAAACCTAGACCAGAGTGGAAAGTGCTCTAAGTAGCAGCAGTCCCCAATCTGGCCACAGGAGCGGAGCATAGCATACGATCTGAGTAGTTCTGGAATCTACTAGCAGTGTGAGTCTCTAGCAAATCATTCATCTAGAGGGTTTACCCCACTATTTATAAAGCTCCTAATTTCTTGCACACCATGCAAATGCTCTCTCTGTAGGGAACTTAGGCTGGCACATAACACACACCTTTGAGCGGAGAGACTCGGGAGACTCAAGCATGTGAAGTAGTTCTGAGTTATCAATCTCCAACAGCATGCCCGTGATTTTACCAGCCAGAGTGGGGTGCATGGCTTGAATAAGAGGGAACAACCGTTCACCTGCGAACAAAAACCTCTATCAGCAAGTAGTGATTAATGGCTACCGTCAACCTGGGCTCAGGAGCCCTGCTAATGCACCTGTCTCAACAGTCTGTCACAAGCTCATCACAAATGTCAACATGAGTTCCCTTGTTTTGTTGCAAAGCCAGAGCAGTGATCAAATTGAGCAAAGGCCTACCACCTGCCACCCGGTGTCCAGTCTCAGTTCCTTCCCACCACTGCCCGCGTGCCACACTTGTGTTTCTGTAGACTGACAGCCAAGTTACTCACCCAACATTTGCTTTTGCTCTTGAGGAGGGGCAGATGCCAACATGGAAGCAGTTAAAGGTTCTTGACCTTGCACATGAACAGCAGGCTGGATATAAAACCAAAGTAATGAAGCATAAACCAGCTGACCATCAAGGGACAACCATAGGAATTCAACTACCCACACCCACTGAGGGACCAAGCAGACAATCTGTGACACACTGCACTTCAGATACAGTTACATTTTAAAGTCTTCTCTGGAATCACATCATCCCATGATTAGGAAAAAGGTGAAATCTAAACCAATCTAACTGAACTTTCCTTCACACCTTCCTTACACCCATTCACTCAGGGAGACTGCTGGCTAGTCCTAAAAACCTCTTCACAGTCCACCAGTAAGATGGCCACACACACAATGCTCACACCACACCTGTTGCATGGTAACTTGCGGCTGGGCATTAAGATGTTGCTGGGGGTTGCGGACTCCCGCAGCGTATTTGTACTGGGGAACGGTGCGGACAGCAGGCGTGGCTGCAGCAGCAGCAGCTGCAGGACGTGGACCCATGGTCTGTGTTGAAGTGTTAGCTAAAAAAACAAAACAAAACAAAACACTTTAGTGTTGTGCTATTTCAAACTGGAGATCAATTTTGTTTACAGGAAGGGTTAGGCCTCACCAACACGCTGTGTCGACATGACGCGGGGGACCTGCGAGGAGGCTGGCCTCATGGTACTAAAGGGTGGCCGGGGAGCAGCTGGGCGGATAGCACCGGGCATGTTCTGGAACGCTGCCGTTAAAGAAAGCACACGTGAGTGAACTAAGAACCTCACCAAGTCAAAGCCAGCGCTTTCCTAGGGCAGACCTTTGCATAAAAAGTAGGAGACCCTACTATAAAATGAGTTTCAAATTTACATTCAATTGTACAAGTTACTTAGTATTTGAGACATGAAAGATTAACGAGAAACACCAATCCCAACTGTGGTGCCATGGGCAAGGACCAAAATGTCACTCACAGCCCTCAAGCTCCTGCAATGTAAGGAGACTGAGCTCTAAAGCCACAGCCACCAAGGCAAACCAACACTCTGCAAATCCCCAACCACGTTCATATCCCATAAATCACCAAGCGCAATTATACCACTCTAACAGGACAAATTTACCTCCCACACGGTACAATGAACCCACAGCCCGGCACACAGGAGGTTGTGTGTTAAATCTTTTGAGCTACACCCCAGGCTCCAATCCCAGTCATAAACTAAGAGGCTTACGATGAGGTCTGGCACCCTGAGCAGTCCAGCGAGGACTTGGTCTTAGTTGAGCAATTTGGCTAGGAGGATAGTATGCAGCACGGTTCTGAGTCTGTGGGAACAAAGGAAGAAGTGCATGAGCTTTAGTGCGGAGCCTCCACAGAGCACACCAGAGCTCTCAGTCACTTCCATCATCAACCACACTGGCCTTTTCCACCCAACTCCATCTAACAGCTTAGCAACTTGTTATCTTTCAGAGGACACAAGGGACCTTGGCACGATAAACAGCAGACAGCACGTTGTTTCCCTTCACACTCACCTGTGGGATAGCTGCCATGAAGTAACCTGAAGGAGGTGCTGGCTGGTAGGGGTTGATCACAGGGTTGGGCACAGCTTGCACACTTGCCATTCTCTGCATATGCTGGTTAGTAAGGTGAGCCTGGCGCTCTTCTTTGCGCTGAGCTAAAGCTACATAGAATGGCTTTGTGGCCACAATTCTGCCATTCATTTCCGTAACTGCTTTAGTGGCTTCTTCAGGAGATGAGAAACACACAAAACCAAACCCTTTGCTGCGACCACCCTCCATCATAACCTACGGGAAAAACAGAGCAGGGAGTGGATGGCAGAATGAACAGCTGACCTTCACAGCCCAGGTCACTGGACCAAGTAACCCATTAGTGCCAGAACCACCTCTGTCGACAGTCTCCCTTACAATCAATACTGCGGGCACACAGGCATCACTGAAGGTAAGCAGTACAACTACACAACAGCCACCTCTCATATGACATTAGAGCCTATTATCTGTAACACTGAGAAATAAAATGTACAAGCCAAACTACCCAAAACAGAAAACACAGACTAGCAGACACACCAGTCAAAACTGCATAGGAAAAGCAAGATTACTTGTCACTCCATTGACCAATCTGTTACACCAGGTGATGCCTACAACTGTCTCCACCAGAAAGCACCCCCACCATGCCAGTGTGGGAAACAACTGCCCAGACTGCAAGCAGCTCATTTTGTGACCTTTGCCATCTTATTCATCCTTGAGCTGCTTGGCGGACATGGTTTCTTTTCCTGTAGTTAACTTGCTGGCCCTCCTCTCGTCCCTAGAAGGTATCACATGTGCCTCCCATAAAGAATCAATCCAAACTACTCTCAGGCATCACACCGTGAAGACTCCAATAGTCCACACTTCAATACTAGGAAAGCATTTGTTTGTAGTCATCTACTACATGCCTCAACAGTTCCTGACAAACCTTAGTCAATGGCAGTGTCTGAAAATTGGAATAAAGACCAGCAAAGGGAGTCAGTCAGATACCATGAGTTGCTTTTTTTCTGTACACTCTCCTCTGAACCCAGGAAAACTTAAATGCCTAAAACTTTGCAAGGTAGTCTCAAAACCATCAACACTAGGCTAAACACACACAGCACAGGTATCTAAAGCAAAATCTTGGAATTTTGTCAGATTACAGAATTCTACTGCTTTGTAATCTGTTTTCAAGTGACAGGAAAATGGATCTGATCTTTTCTACTGGGGGGGGGGGGGATGTCAACAGGCCAGGCCTCAGTAAACTGCTGTTAGCAGTCTGCAACACAGCTACCTAACAGCACATAGTATATAAGGTTCAACCTGCTAGCTTAAAAAAAAAAAAAAAAAAAAGGAAACCCCCACCAGCCCCCCCCCCCCAACACACCGCACACGCTCGTACCTTTGCACTGGTGATTGTACCAAATGGAGAAAACTCTTTCCGGAGACGTTCATCATCAATGCCATCATCAAGATTTTTCACATAAAGGTTAACACCCTAAAAAGAGAAAACAAACTGAAGAGAGGTAGGAACCCCCCTGTGGCACCTAGCCTCACCTCTTCCTTTAGCCCCCCCCCTTTTCTTCTCTTCCCTCCCAAACTTTCAGTTACCTGGCAGTAACTGCAATGAACATAAAATAAGCCTTCCTAATCCCTGTCTTAGTTTGCTTGTTCAAGTACAAACGAACCTGGTATCTGGTGATCCTATCTTGCTTCATCTGCTCAAATTTGCGCTTAAGCTCTGTCTGTCGTTCCACTTTTTTCTGAGCTCGACCAACATAAATCTGTTTACCATTGAGTTCCTTTCCATTCATCTCATCCACAGCCTTAGAAAAAACAAACAAAACTCAGTTACTTTGTAAAGGTACGTCTCATTAACAAGGAAAATGTTTCCAATTGCTAACATTATAGACCCCCACACATCCCCAAAAGTCATGGTTTGAGAGCAATCAATATGCACACCCAATTCTCTAACACTCAAAATGCAAACAGCTGATTACAGTATGCAAAAGCTTCCATGAATTAATGTTGACATAAACGTGTATCAATTTTAACAAGAGTAACAGCTTTGTAGACCCTTTGATAGAAAAGGAATTATTTAAACTCTTACTTTCTGCGCATCTTCATGCCTCTCAAAGCTTACAAATCCAAATCCTTTGGATTTTCCACTTTCATCGGTCATTACTTTCACACTTAAGGCAGGCCCTAAAAAGTTTGAATAATCAAAACTGTCAATTAATGCAAACAAAGCAGCAGAGCAAACCCCAGCCTCAAGCTCTCAGATTTCTGTTTTCTTCATAGACCCTTTCCTAAATATAAGAACTAACTTGGAAAAGGCCTTCTTTGGTCATCTGCTTCTCAACAGAATGGGGGGAATACTAGATGCTCAGGTAGAAAATAATGGAATCACAAGCTTCCCCCTCCTTCCAGCTGTATGGCAGAGTCCACAGCAGGTGACCCCTCAGGTGTGAAAACGTCTACATGCTGAAAGAATGGTGGTTTCAATGAGAATGGCCCTCACGGGCTCATACATGATGACCATGGACTCACCCACGTACTGTAAGCCCAGTAAACATGCCTTGGTCAAAGCATCCTAGCACAGCAACAGAAAACTAAGCAAGCTCAGGATGTGGGGGAGGTGGTGTAGTTAAAAACAACCAGACCAAACTCAGCACTGGGGAGGCAGATGATAGATGTCTACAAGTTCAAAGCCAAAATGGTCTTGTGACTCCCAAAAATCATTCAAATGCAAGAAAGTTAGATGTAACACAAGGGTCACCTCTAGAATAGAGAAACTTGAACAAGGCATGAAACTTGACTGTTATTTATCTCATCTCTTTGCTCAGCCAGGTGGTGGTGCATGCCACCTTTGGTTCCAGCTCTCAGAGGCAGGTGGAGCTCTGCAGGCCAGTCATTGATCCCCTGTGCTTAAAAAGGGTCTGGGGCTGGAGAGATGGCTCAGTGGTTAAGAACACTGGCTGCTCTTACAGACATCATGAGTTTGTCAGTTCTCAGCAACCACATGGTGGCTCACAACCATCTGTAACAGGGTCAGATTCCTTCTTCTGGTGTGCATGAAGACAGCACACTCATACACATAAAATACACAAATCTTAAAAAAGATCACAGCAAGCTCAGTCTGGCCTTGCAATGGAGTTAAATGTACTAATTACCATTTGCAGAACTGAAAAAAAAAAAAAAACACCCTAATATTAAGCCCATTGTAAATTTAACAAAGACAGCAGCAAACCACCACAAATTCTCATTTCTTCATCTTTTTTCTGTAACCCCGCTGACAGTACAACCAAATCCTAAATCCTCTGCCCCCCTACTGTATGTTGGGATTGTAGTTATGCACTACTCATGTCTGGCTGAATTTTCTTTGAAAAGATCCTCCAAGGAGTCGTGACAGAAGACTGGATCTTTGGAAAACATTGTCTGAAACTGCGTAAGCATCCACCTAACAGGGCCAGCTTTTCCATTCTAACCAGAAATTACATGTGACCCAGGACAGTCTTACCCACGCTGTCCTACAACTATGAGACTGTCTGTATTAAAAGTATCTTAATGCAGCAAAACCCTTACATGGATGGAATCTACCATCAGCCACTTTTACCTGAATGTTTTTATTAAACTTTAAGCTGCACAACTAACACTCCACCTGCAAGTTACTGTTGTGCAGTGGACACTGGCTTAATTCAAATCAGTATTTTAAATACTTTCCAGCTAAGTGTTTATTTAATAACTTCATACAATTACTTAAGTGTAAAGATTTAACTTGGACACATTACCAAACTTGCCGAAGAGATCCTTAAGGCGCTCATCATCCATGTCTTCTCCAAAGTTCTTGATGTAAACGTTGGTGAACTCCTTTGCCCTGGCTCCAAGCTCTGCTTCTCGTTCCTTTCGAGACTTAAATCGTCCAACAAACCTGAGGAAATGTCAGTAAAAACATCAAGTTGTAAAGTGTACCACAAAATAAAAATGTCTTCAGTGAAAACAGGGAGCTTTAAATACAACCTCTCTCTTAACTATAATCAAAACACGATAGGTTCTTGATAAAACACACTTTTATCCAGCTAAAGGGTCCACTCCTGTTAACACAAGTAACCCAATTCTTACACATTAAGTCTACTGGCAACAAACAGCCTCTCAGATTAGTTAAAAGTTTTATTTCAGGAAAGATCAATCACAAAACCTCCTCTAACACCAAAGCTGACTTCAGATTGCTGGGGGCACAGTCAGAGAGCCCACTCCCCGTCTTACAATTAAATTACTTTGGCTAGTTTCCTCAAATGTAGAAGGGGCCAATGAATGCATTCCTTAAAATAAGGTTGCATGGATTCCCAGTTCTTCAACAATGCACTCACCTGACCAAGTTTTCTGCCTCTATCTATCTGGTTCAATTTAGGTTCCAATGTTGAGTGACACGACTGGCCGTGAATGACGATGAAATCCAGCCAATGTGTCTTGGCACTGTTGCTACACCACGTATATGGTGGGCTTGAGAAATTCTCATGTAGCCTAGCTGGGCTGGCCTTAACTCATAGATCCTTCTGCCTCCATCTCAACTGATGAAATGACAGGCATATGCTATTTTCAGCTAGCTCTGTGTCTCTGGTTCTTTGGGTTTTTTGTTTGTTAGTTTTGAGACAGGAGTCTACTTAGCTCAGGCTGTCCTGAACCAGGCAGGCTCTTTAGTCAGAGATCTTCCTGCCTCTGCCTCCCAAGTAATGGGATGACTAGCTCCAGCTAGCTTTATCTCACAACAGAGACCTATTCCTGTTCACACTCCTGTGGAACTGTTAGAACAGACTTGAGATGTTCACAGAGTCACACTCACACTTTCCGGTCATTTAGAAGCATCCCATTCATTTTTTCAATAGCTCTTTCTGCAGCTTCCTGTGTTTCAAAGTGTACAAATCCATAGCCTTTGGAGCCATTTTCATCACAAACCACCTGGGGAAAAAGGACACGCTCACTCTGTGTTACTTGCTGTTGCTTTCCCCCTTTGCAGAAGTGTTATGTTAGCACCTATTTCAGAAATGAGCAGTCACTAACAGCCACTGCAGATGGCCAACAGTGTAAAACCTGCCACACTCGCTCACCTTACATGAGAGGATATTTCCAAATGCAGAGAACGTATCATACAGTGCCTTATTGTCGATGGATTTGTCCAAATTTTTAATGAATATGTTGCCCACTCCACTTTTGCGAAGGGATGGATCACGCTGAGACCACATGATGCGCACTGGCTTGCCCTTTATAACATCAAAATTCATGGTGTCCAAAGCACGCTCCGCTAGAAAGACATTTCCAGAGTCAGTGCCACTAACCTTTCATTGTGCCACTAACATGAACATTACCCACTAACATGGACATTACCCACCCCAATTTCCCATAGTTATGCTTCACGTAAAATAAATCTATCCTACAATTACTCTTTCAGGTCCATAAAAACACTCAATTATGTGTACTTGTGATGACGTTGAATCTTTTGAGACAGGGCCTCTCTATGTAGTCCTGGCTTGCCTGGATCTCCTAGACCCACCCACATCTGCCTCCAGTACTGGAATTAAGTGTACCACACCGGTCTTATATGGAAAAATGTTACCTTAAGTAAAAAGACCAGTCCTAAAAAGGGAACTTGAATCCCGGAAGCAAACTTCTCACTAATAACTGCAAAATTCTGACAAGCCAAATTTTCAGCCTTTTGGGGTTTTTTTGAGTTAAGGTCTCATTGTGTGGCTGGCTTGATTGATGTAGCCCAGGCTATTTAGCTCAGAGACAAACCCAACTGCAGGAACCACCACACCCAGCCCTCAGCCACTTTTTGTAAATGAAAGTTCCAGTTCCTAGAATATGATAATCAGCAGCCAGCTCACTATCCACTGGCCACACCTCCTCCTCAGCACCCTGGTCCTGCTGACTTTGCTTGAGCCTGACAGGTTTTTTTAGTGAGTCACCTCTTCCTACTAAACTCACAGAACCCCTGTCCATTACTGCAATGCTGTAAGGATACTGAAAAAGAGGAAAAGCTGATTAAAAACCCAACTGTCTGCGAAGATGGTATACTGGACACACAGACACAAAATAAATGGGAAAATGAGGCAAAACTTCTGAGTAGTTAGTAACGGTCCACACACAATATACATACAGTAAATAAACGACATGCATGGCAACTTGAAGCCTAACTTTTCAAATCCTACGAAAATTAAAAACTGGATTTTCTGGATTAATAATAAAAAAAAATCACCAAGCTTGAAGTCTTTCAGTCTGAACCTGGTTACTTGCTCCCCAGTGACCTGCACTTATCCACATCCTGTGACAACCCTGCCTGAGGGGAAGGATCCTGAATGATCCCCCACCAGGCCAAAGGTCAGGTAATCCGCAGTGCAGGTTTACAACTTTTGGCTCCGTGTCACCGTTCATGCTGCTTAACGAAAGTCAGCTTTAACCAAATTATTAGTCACTAACCCAATGAACTTATTAACTTGACTCCAGAGTTTCCCATTTAAATAAGATCTCTAGGGAGAAGCTGACTTCTGAACTCAACTGATCTAGATTCCACCAAACTGTTTATCAGGCCATAAACCTTATCTGATGCTTACATTTTTCTTCCAGTGAACTGTCAAGTTTCACAAGAACATAAACTATCAGTTACAAGTGCTCAAGACCCATGGATGCCTGGACCACTTA